TAAACCTGTTTCAAACAACTCACTCTTTGCTGGTTAACAACCACTAACTAGGCTGACTGGTTTTGTTTAAGTTGTGCACAGGGACATTCACACTCATTTCACATTTCCTATGCTCTCCTGATGAATGCTATCACTTTCTGCAATGACATTTAAAAATCTTCTCCTGTCTTCAAACCTTCCACTCTTCCTACCCGTGAAGCCTGCCTACTGAGGTAGCCTCAAGCTCCCTGGGAATACAAAAGTCAGAGAGGAACTCTCTCATCTCACACCAGTCTAGAAGCACTTCTGAATTTGCACTCGGCTTCTTCTTCCTTTCTGCTGTAGGGTAGAAAGCTTCCCTCTCTTCACAATCATGGGATCTGATGGGCTCAGCTCTCAGAAATGTTTGCTCCTTTCATTAGCCAAACCTTTTCCTTCAATTTCAGTCACTCCCTCTCCACTGTGTCCTTCCTTTTTGCTATTTTAAGGGGAAAGTATAACTTACATAAAATAAAATGCATTAAAGTTATATTCCATCTAGATGCTGGGGCAAACACCTGTAATCCCACTCAGGAGGCTGAGGCAGGAGAATCCCAAGTTCCATGACAGCCTCAGTAACTTAGTGAGACACTGTCTCAAAATAAAAAATAAAAGGAATTAGGAATGTAGCTCAGTGGTAAAGTGCCCCTGAGTTCAATCCCTAGTACTACTACTACTACTACTACTACTACTACTACCACTTCTAAATTACTACCACTACTGTTAACTTCCCAGAAGTTATTTCATGCTCTTTTCCAGCCATACCACATCCACATTGGTAGCCACTGTTCTGATTTCTATCATTACAGATTCATGATTTAGGATTTCATGTAAAGGAATCATATAGTATGCACTCTTTATTATCTGGCTTCTTTCATTCTATATATTGATTTTTATATTGATCAATATGGACTATTCAGTCCATGCTGCTGTGTCTATCAGTAGTTTTTATTGCTGAGCAACATTCCATTGCAAGGATATACCACAATTCATTTATCCCTTCTTCAGCAGATGGAGATTTGGATTATTTCCAGGTTTGGGATACTATAAATAAGACTGTTCTGGACATAGTTGTACAAAACTTTGAGTAGAGACATATTGTCATTTTCATTTTGAATTTTCATTTCATTTTGAATATGCTTGTCACAGGATATGCATTTTTTAACTTTATAAGGAACAAACAAGTAACCCTTTAAAATTGCTGTCCACTTTGTGTTCTTATAAGGGCCATGTAAGAGAATTCCATTTGCTTCAACTTCTTGACAAATTCAGGACTAACAGTCACTTTTATTTTAGTGATTCTAATGGATGCAAAAAAGTTCTTAGAATAATGTTTGGCATAAATTTAATCCCCCAAAGAGATTAGTTATTGCTACTCTCAGAGTAAGTTCTCAAACATTATGAATGAATTCCTTCTTTTCTATAATCATGTCTCACTCTTCTTGTCCTTTCTACTCCCAATCCCTAGTATTGGCTGGGCATCTATGTAAGTATTAAGTTAAGATAGATATTCATAAATTTATTAAAGTATCATCTTTCTGGCAGAGACCTCGCCCATGTCTCCCACAATACAGAACAACTGCAAAATAAATAATGCAGGTTCACCTTTTTTTTTTTATTTGTGAGTTTTTATTTTTGTTCTGGAAATTGAGCTCAGTGGCTCATGCATGCTACCAAGCTACATTCCCAGCCTCTAAAAATATTTGTGTATCAAAGAGCAGTGCTGAGAAATTGAAAGGACAATCAACAGAATGGGAGAAACTATTTGTAAATCATTTATCTTTTAGGTGTCTAATATCTATAAAATATTAAGCATTTCTATAACGAAATAAGACAAACACTTTCAAGAAGATGGACAGACCAATTAAAAATCTGGTCAAAGGACTTGATTGAATAGGCATTTCTCCAAAGAATAAGCATATGAAAAGATGCTTGATATTATTAGGAATCAGGAAAAAGCAAATCAAAAACCCCAGAAAAATACCACTTATAACTAGTAGGACAG